CTATTAACAGATATCTATTTCTAAAATAGATATCTGTTAATAGACCCTTTGGAACGAACTCCCCGTGGAGATTCGTACCCTCGCCACCGTCCAGGCCTTCCGCACAGCCCTTAAGAACTGGCTAGCCCGTCAGGCCTGGGGACTTTTATTATATGTGTCTACGTCATTGTTTTGTATTCCCCCTCCCTGATTTTATGTGAGCCGCCCTGAGTCCCCTCAGGGAAAAGGGCGGCCTACAAATGTTAATAAAATCTAAAAATCTAAATCTGACTCAAAGGCAAATAAATAATTCCAGAGGTGGTATTCAGTAGGTTCTTAACCAGTTCTGTAGAACAAGTAGCGAAAATTTTGAGTAGTTCAGAGAACCAGTAAATGCCACCTCTGACTGGCCCCGCCCCCATCTATTCTCTGCCTCCTGAGTTCCAGCTAATCAAGAGGGAATGGGGATTTTGCAGTAACCTTCCCCTGAAGTGGAGAGAGAATGGAGATTTTACAGTATCCTTCCCCTGCCATGCCCACCAAGCCATGCCCCCAGATCCGGTAGGAATTTCAGTGGAAATTCAAAATTCAGTGGCATTTTGAATCCCACCACTGATAGATACACTTCAATAAACCTATTGGCGGCAGCCTGCGCACCTGTACACATGCTAAGTAGTGTAACATTGTGAGGTTTCTTTTATTTAGAAGTGCTTAGTTAGAAGGCTAAATGTATGTACTGCCTGCAAAATACAATAGTTGTTTAGTATTTTTTTAAACCCTAAATACCTGCAGTTATTCTCGCTGCACAAGCAGTCAGAATAGGGGTGTCAGTTCCGGCCCAAAGGGTGCTTAGATCTGGCCCGTGGGGCTCCCTTGGAAATAGCCAAGGACCAGCTCACGGTGCCTCTGCCAGTAAGAATAGAGCTCCCTCCTGGGTTTTGCTGGCAGAGGGCTGTAAGAGGATTCCTCCAGCCCTGCCAGGCCACCACAGATACCCTCAACAGGAGTGATGTTGAGCTGGCCACGCCCACCCCATCCTGCTAAGGTCAAACATAACCCTGATGTGGCCCTCAATGAAATCAAGTTTGACACCCCTGTGCTAGAACTTCTTAACTGTACTAATCAGCATTTGGCCAGGGCAAAGTCTTTGTTTATGTATTCGTTCATTCTTTGACACAGAAAGGGAAAGAAAACAGAAAACAGAAAGAGAAAACAGAATCACAGAGTTGGAAGGGCCCTTGGAGGTCTTCTAGTCCAACCCCCTGCTTAGGCAGGAAACCCTACACCACTTCAGACAAATGGTTATTCAACATCTTCTTAAAAACTTCCAGTGTTGGAGCACCCACAACCTCTGGAAGCAAGCTGTTCGAATAATTAATTGTTCTCACTGTCAGGAAATTTCTGTTTTCTGTTTTCTT